TATTTAATCTAAGTTTAACCTAATCAACATAAAACTGAAAACATTATTGAAATTTTAAATGAAATGAGCATTTTCATCGTTATTTGCTTTATGATTGTCTATACAGATAGTTACGAGAATATCTAATTGAGATTGAACTTTGGATATTTAATTTTATTTACTATTTTGGTTGTTATCTTAATTAACTTTATCATGTTCTTAAAGAGCTGCTTGACGTCTTTATCCAATAATAGCTCTAATAATTCTTAGGTTGATATGCTTCAAACAAAAAATGCTTTTATTCATGGAATGGCTAACTCTATAGAACTTAAAAATTCCTAAAATATCTCTAATAAATTAGAATTTGAGAATATTTTTCTAGAGTAGTTAGATAAAAATGCAAATAATTCCAATTCGCGATCTAGAAAACCCCCAAGAAAAAAAGCTAGTAAAAAACTATAATCTGATTTAAATCTTGAAGCTTATAGTAAAAATTATTCTAAGGGAATTATTGAGATTTAATGTAATAAAAATTAAGAGATAGATTATGATATAATATTTGTTTATTCAATCAATCATGAGACCTACGTGATAGTATTTTAAGCATTAAGACTGTAAAACCTAATACATTGATTTACAGCTGATTTAGTGTTTATCTTTTAGTGAGATTCTTCAATTCTAATTCTCTTTTTTCTTATTTCAACTCTTTTTTCCTTCTTCAATTTTTTGTTTGTTTATTTACAGCAATCATTCATTTTGCCAATCGATTGTGCTTGATATAACAAAGATTATCTCTTCATTGGATTCAATATTGGGCCTTGATGCCAGATCTTTAATCTCATATGCATAGTCATATCTATTTCTGAAATCTTATTCCGCATTTAAATCGAATTCAACTTGCATGGTGACTATTTTGCATTTCATTCTGATCCATGGCTTTTATTGCTTGCATTGAAGCATTCTATAGTTAATATATTATTGTTTTGCTTCATATAATTTTGACTTATCTATTTGAATTTAGTATGAAGTACAAATTCAATGTCTTCTAGGTTTATCTCTCTAGATTTTTGCATTATATCATCCACCTTCAGATCTAAATTCATATATCATATCAATAAAAATTGACTTTTTATAACTCTTGTTATTTGAAATATATTTTTCTAATTGGCATTTATATCTACATTATCTGAATTGATGAAAATCTTAGAAATCGGGGTTTTGGGGTTTTGGGG